GAGCTGAACAATATTGACCTATTAGTTTAGCGCTAAGGGCACATAATTCGAGTACTTTTTGGGAGGTAAATTGCATCTTCTTTCCGTTTTTAAAGCATATCAGAATATGAGTTACTTATTCCGTTTATGGAGGTCGTGTTTTCTTCCTTCCAGTTGCAAGTTATACTCATAAGGAAAACTGAAAAAAATATGGCGAACCGTGTCTTCATCTGTTTGATTATGGAAAGGAGATTGTGAAGCTCTACATAAGGGCTTTGCACCATCTAAAGGCCACGGAACTATTAAATTAAAAGCACAAGTTTATTTTTTATGAATCCTAGAAAGTAGCGTCACTTTTGATTATAAGAGTACGGCAACTTGAGAGTAACTGCCTGCTCAAATGCCGAAGGGCATCGTTAATCCCCTCCAAACGGTCACTCCACAACTTGTGCAGTGCCGGTGGTAATTGTTGAGTTGAAGTAAACGATGAACCGTGAACTGATGGACGCTTGGAGTGCCCATCAATATACGAAAAACGGTTATATTGGTTTCCATTCCGCATATTTTGTCTTGCGCGTTCACCGCCGCACTCACAAAACCGACGGGTCATTTTGTCGATCAATTCATACCTGTCGCGCCTCTTGTTGCCACCCGTCCTGTTACTGATGGCGAATCCCTACATGTGTTCCTACGTTGAGTAGAAATGACAGGGTTGGCGTGATCTACAGGTCGTCCTTATTGCTTAACACATGGCCCAGGGCTCGAGTATTTTCTTCACCGCGGATATTGCGGTGATGATGGCAGGCTGATATCATATGTAAAAACATGAGTACAAAAATAATAATTGTCGGACCATGCTAGAAGGCTGCAAAACACAATGCCTCCATAGACGCAGAGAAGTCTTTCATAAGAACGGTTTTCAATTTCACCTAGTGTGTTGGCCAATAGCATACGGACGGACCGGACCGGACATCAAATCGTCCCTTTGATCTTGTCGCTACCTTGAGGAAGTCCCGCTTGCTTATCTTGTTCGGGTGCCCATTAGGCCGAAATATTAGAGGTCTATCTACTGATTGTAAATAATCGTAAAACATCAATTTTAATCACAAGCCGAGGTTATTTAGTTTAATCGAATTTTCCTTTCGTGTCTGGGGGAGGGGGTAAAATTCATGTTCAGTGCTTGAATTAGTCGGATTCTTCCGACTGCGGACATTTTATATTTTTATCAGTTTGTTATAAAAAGATATTACAATGATATTATTTCTCCCTTTGGTCGTCAGATCACCGTAAAATTTCAGGTGCTTTACCTGTTTAATTTGTTGGAGCGTTCACCGATTAATAGACATATATGTTGCCGGGGTCTTTTGGAGGGTTCTGAAGTCAAAAGTGCAATGAGGCGCGTCAGTCGTACTCCCTTCCACCATGTGCATAGTATTTACCACCTCTGATAATCGAAACAATCTTCTTCTGACAGGCTTATGAAACTCGACAGGTTTTTTAATCCAAAAATGACTGACACCCTCGCAATTCCCAATCACTAGCTGCTCCCTTCATTTAGTTGACCGTATCAACGCTTCGGTTGTATATACATCATTTACGCTTTTGTTGAGGAATCACAGCTAGTAAATAATTAGTTTTTTCCTGAGGAAACAGGAAAGATCGGGCAAACTCTTGTCTACACCTGTACCGAGCCGTGTAGGTCAAAGCACTAACCAGTGGCCACGTGCACACTTTAAGTTTTGATCTCTTGCATTAAAACGTGGGAATTTTGCAATGCGCGAAGCTGGGCGATATCCTGAGCAAGTGGCTGCAATTATTCAAATGTACTCGATTTAAATATGCATACTTGAAATGCTTTGAACCAATATTTTGAACTCAAGCCTCCCTAGCAGGAATCAGACGGTTGTTCAATACAATGCACGGCACGACCTATAAGTGATGTCGACAAATCAGCTTTTTGTGTTGCGGAATGTCACACATTTCACTATGCTATGAGCAAGATTTTATAAAATTCTCATAAAATTTTACACTAGATATTAATAATGTTGGATACTTTATAGGAAAAATTAAACTGAAGCCTGCGGTGTATCATGAATGAACATTTCTTACGTAATAGCATAATTCAGAACTTTTAGTTAACATCACCATTTACCTTTTTCAAGCACATGATTTGAAGAAAGCGTCAAATGCTAAAAATGAGTAAAATAAACCGTTATATTGTGTATATTACCTGATACATATATTACAGTTTATGAGGACATTTGAAATCAAAGGGAAAAAGGGAAACTAGTTTAATAACATTTCATACAACATATACATTCCGCATTCGCTTACATTATTCAATGTTAGTTAATGCAATAACCTGCCATTTTTACAGAATATACGTTTTTCAGGCTGTCAGGAAGACGCTGGTTTAAATGCCGGCTTCTTGCTGCAACTAAAATACCTGGAGATTGGACTGCATATAAATCAGTATCACAACCCCGCTTAAAAGAGATAGAGAGATACGCTTTTTTGAAAATATCATTGCAAACTTTTCAGCAAAAACCTCCTTTCACAAGGAATAAAATTAGGCGCACAAACTCACAACACCGGGAAAATCAAAAGCAGTCCATAATCTTCAATAACTGGAATTGTCAACATCGTGGAAAAATGCCTCAAACATACGCCAAATTGGACTGCTTTCAAAGCGGCGCCAGCTTTGTGCACTGATGACCCCTTTGTAGTTCGAATGAACAAAAAGGGATAAAAATCGGTTTATATTGGGCGGGTTAGGCCAACCGACTTATATATTTAAGAAAAGTTACAGGCGATGATGAGAGGAAAACGTGGCGGCTCAATTCGAAAAGCCCGCCTAAGTAATTTACTAGAGTGAAAAACAAATTACTGAATTTTGCTTGACATCTCATGAGATAAAAAATCTGCTGTACACTAATATCTACATTAATTTAACCGAACCGCCACTCCCCTCTTTCGCTCTCCGGGCTACACCAGGTTCATAAACGCGACCAAGGCTGGGCGTGGGTGGTACTCATTGCCTCATTTTGCATGCAGATGCTGGTTGATGGCACGATCAGCAGCTACGGCGTCATTTTCAACGGCATGCAGAAGGACCCCTATTTTGGCCAGGCCAACTTCACAGAAAGCCAGTTGTCCTTGCCAGGTGCAATCCAGGCCTGCCTTATGGTCACATCTAGTGAGTTCTGTTTCTTCAGTACTTTCTACTTCAGCCCCTGTCTTGCATAGCATTCCAACGGTCCAGAGGCTTACTGTCTGATCGTGATTGACTCAGAGTAGGTTATGCATGCTCCCTAGGCTTCAAGTACAGTACGGCTCAGGATTCGTGCAAAATTTCGAAATGGCGACAGATTGGCACTCACTTACTAATTGGCATTAAGTAAGGTTGTAATACTGATTATCCTGTAGTTTATTCCGAAGTCATTTTGGTTACGATAGGATGCCGCCTTTTTAACAGACTTCTTTCTGACTGCTAACAAAAAGCATGTACGGTACAAAATGGCTAGTTAAGTAGTATGCATTTTTATCATTGATTTTGACTGCTTTTATAAATTCAAATTATTTTATAGAAAACATGCACGAAAAAAATATTTCTTGTGCTCGTTTGGCAGCAAATTACGCCTTCTTTAACGTTTATACTTAAAGAGAGGGTATCGTACGATTACAAAAAGTTTCTAATTTTGAAACTTACCGACATCTATACCCGAATTAGAGGTTTGCAAACTGTACGCTGTGTACATGTTGCTTAAGGAAAGTTAATTTTTCCCTACGGTTAGAAGAAGAGGTCACAGAGTTTTCATAAAATGTTGCAGTAGATGTGGATCATGCTGTATACCTTATAGACAGCATTAATAAGTTAGCGGATATGATGTACCGTGAATGAACATCTAACAATCGTAAAAATCTCATAATTAGAATTGTTTTTTAAAACAGGAAGATACGTTTCTGACGGAGTAGTGCTATTTTCGTGCATATTTTTCATAAAATATGTTTGAATTTTTCAAAAGCAGTGATAAAATACATAAGACTTAGGTAGCCATTTTTTACAGTACATGCTATTTGCTAGCGATCACAAAGAAACTGGTTCAAAAACCGGCATCCTAGCGTGACTTAAATAACTAGAGAATAGACCATAAGATAATCAGCATTAAAACCTTATTCAATGCCAATTAGCGAGTGAGTATCAATCTGTCGCAAATGTCGACATGTTGCACAAATTTTGAGCCATACTGTACAGTAGTCG